GGGAGAGTAGAATCAAAAGATTCCAATGAACCAACGCAGCTCGTTAACCGTTTGAGCCGAGAGCCTTTGCACTGGCAAAACAGGCTCGCGTAATTAACACAAACACGCCCACAGGTTCATTCCATCATCATAGCAGTCATGTCTTGAAAGCGGCAGCCATCTGTGAGAACTGACTGCCGAGAGGGCTCCGGCCATAAATCGTGTGACGCTCACACAAAGAGAAGACGATCGAGTTTTGAAAAACCAAACAAAAGGAACTCTGGTAACACGTTGTAATCACTCATCAGTCTGCTCACGGCGCACGGAGACTTGAACAACACGGCGACGGCGCAAACAATTCCTCATTTGGAGGCGCGCCAAATTGTGCAACTTCGGCCGCGCGGATATTCCTGAATTGTGTCGGTAATGCTCGGGCGTTAAGTCAAGAGAGATATGAAGGAATGGCTTCAGCGACACCAGCTGCTGCTCCGTTTGGGTCTGTAAACAAAGCGCGATTTGCCATCCTAACAGGTTGGACGTTGACAGTTGCGAGGCCGTTTTACGAGATGAGAAAAATGGGCCCACACCGAGGATCATCTTTGAGAGACGTCCCGTAACTCGGCTTTTGCTGACTTTTATCAGAAGAGAGAGAGAGAAAAACGCTCACATTTGCAAGATTGTCAGTTGTGTGTGTCTTTCCTACGTTTAACAAACTGTAATGTAGCTTGGTAGATATTCATCCCGGGCCACGATAATCCCCAAGATCATCTTTCGGTGAGGTTGCAGAAAAGTGGTTAAGATTGCACGACTGTCTTTGTCTTATGTGTTGTGTTGTATTATTTTGTTATTTTGACGTCAAGCTGGTGCCGCGAGAGTGGCTGCCTTTACAGCAGCTCTTATATTTTTTGTTCTTCTACTTCTTCCTTTAATAACTTTGCTGCTGTGAATTGGGAATTTCTCCATTGTGAGACTAATAAAAGGTTTTCTGATCTTTCTTCTCGGAGAAGTCCCATCAATGATTTTTATCAAAAGGGCGAGGAAATGTTGACATTTCTCTGATGGTGTGTATTTATGCTCATTGAACAAATTATAACCTTACCCATTAGATAATCGTCCCTCGCCGCAGGATAATCGTTCGCGAGAACCTTTTTTAGACATCCGGCATTTTGGGCTTTGGCGACTGATCAGAAAGGAAGGCTCGCTAGTTGACATCTGCGTGCTAAGTAGCGAAGGTCAAGTGACCGATGTTCACTAGTAGAACTTGATGATACCACGACGAGTCGCAAAAGCACACGTTTGTCTACCAGGGCACAGTTTTGACTCACTCGTAACGTGGGATTGTCCAGTTCGTAAATTTGCTCAGCAACTTTTGTTTTCTCTGCTTTGCCTCTGAATGTCGTTCGCTGTTGTGTTTGGAAATGCTTTCAGGTGTTGCGTCTTTGCTTGCGTGAAGCACATTGAGTTGTCTTGTGAATGAAACGTGCAATAGAAATAAAGCTGCCTTGCCTTGCCCAGTACGTGGACCTCAAGGATCGAATAAACGCTCGGATTGGCTTTCGCTACACAAGCAACGACGACAAGCGTGTGAATTTTTTTTTTTTCCCCAACCTGGATAGTCACAGTGGTGGATCCGTCGCTTCTCCAAGTCAGGGTTGTTCCTGCGGTTGTAGCGGGCGGCGGTGAGGGACTGCGTGGCCGCGGGGGCGTGGGGCAGCGGCGCGGCTTGCCCCGGCACGGCGGGTGCGGCGCCCGAA